CAGATGATGTGGATTGTTCTTCCTCCTGACTATTTCAAGCCTCCATGTTTATGTAATGTAATTAGATTTTTGTAGAAAGAATTGCTCCTTGAGGTGGGTATGGGTGGCCCAGCTGTTTGAGCCACCACAATTCACTGAGCAGAGTTGCATCCCTTTATAAAACCTTTGATTTTGTGTTTGAATCCCAGGTTGCACCATAGTGTTCATGGGTTACATCACAGTATTCAGTTGTTACATCAAGACCTGCATCTCTTTAGGCTTTCTTCCCATGCCAAGCTGACACACTGACGTAACTCAAATACTGCTCAATGCAGTGTTAAGATCATCTCCCTCACTCAATTAACCCTCAGAATTCCATTGTTGGACTAACACACCTATGGCTTTAGCCACCCCTGGGCCATTTTGTACTTAATCTTTGCAAATGGCCAACTTATGAGTTAAGATACCACTCATAAAGTTAAACACCACCTAATTCTTTCATATTACTGCAGTTGCTCTGTCAGAAACTTTGACTAACGGGTTACTATAGTATAAAGAAAGAATCATGCTGTCCTTCAAGTCCTTCGAGTAGTGTATATAGACGCTACCTTGGGTTGGCCCTTACTGAGCAGAAGGCCTGCGTTTAGTTCATCACAAGGGTACCTTGTGTACAGTGTCATGAAGCCATGTATTGGTTTCCCCGGCTGTGATATGTTGGAGTGCTGGAAGTGATGCTATTAGCAGCCTCAAACTCCTTCACTCACATACATACAACCCTTGAACAACCGTATGGTTGAAGTCCACGACAGCCAGCTGGATCTTCTGGAACAAGTCATATTGTATTGTTCATTCATCATGTGAGAGGAAGCTGACCCAGCATTGGCAGCCTGTTTATAGTTGCAATACTCTCTGTATCAAGAGACAATCTCTTTATATCCTCCCTCCTTGACCTAGGCGTGACAAGATGGGTTCACTGACCCTCTGTGGCTAAGCATGGACAGCATGACATGGACAGGCTGCATGATGTGTTAGCATCTAGAGTCAGGGAGGAATTAATTACTCTATTTGCGCTCTGCTTAGGTTCTAATAGAATTTCTTGGTTAAGTTGAGTGGAATATCAGCTTCAGGGTCTTGAGAGTAATCCTGATTGACAGCTGGACACAGACACTGAACTGAAGGTGTCTCCTTCTTCAGAGACATCTTGTATGCAGGTTGAAAGGAAGAGGTCTTCATGGTGAAGTCTTCACAAAATGTGGGGGCTTTCGTGTCTGAAGTGGACTTACTTGTGGAAAATCAGGTGTTGATGTCAGTGATCTGAATCAGTGATTACATTTGTCAGCTGATGAGTGTATTTTTACCCCACAATATCATCAGCACAAGGTGACCACAAGAATCTCCAACACAGGTCAGTAGATACATATATTCATTAGCTGGTGAAAATCTCTCAGCTGGAGGTATGGCCTGTGAGAAATGTGGATTTGTTAATCACCCACTGGCAAGTTAGCTTTGGTAATTGATTGAGATTTAGATGTTTAAATCAAACAGTTCTGAATCTGTTTTATGCTGTTTGAAAGTTAGCATAATTTTATATGCTACTGAAAAATAGGTGCATCTGACCTTGTGCTGATGTAATCAGGGCTCGATTTAGTGCTTTGTTACTTGCACCGGTGCAACCCAATATTTACAAAGTGCAACCTAGTTATTAGTCTAACTTGCACCAGGTGCAAGTCAATTTTTGAGACTTCAGCTGGAAAACAGAATGATGAGGAACTGAAATGGAAGAGTGGCTCTGATGACTGTATGAGCAGTGACTGAAAGACTTACTGTTCATGAAATTTTAGGAAGTAAGATAACTAATGTTATCAGTCCCAGATTTGTTGTTATAATGTTCTAAACTATCATTACCAAAACTCAAGCATCATATTTTATACAAGATTTTATATTGAGCAGCAGGTGCAACCTGTTTATCTAATGCAACAAGGTTTCTACCTAAATTGCACTGTGTGCAAGTACGTTTCATTTCTTTAAATCGAGCCCTGGTAATGGAACCCATGGTGATCATGGTACTGGACAAAGTAGGCATGCATGGTCTCCAGTGTCAGTGCACAAGACACTGAATAATAGTATCTCTACCTATAGTAAAACATGTATTGAATGAGATTCATGGGTAAATGACATTGATGAAGCTGAACTCTTACAATTTCATTTGAAAAAAATACAACTGAAAGGAAGTTAAGGAACATAAGAGAATCACTGTTTTACTTTTAAGTTGCATATAATAGATGAAATGAGAATATATATTTCAAACCTATTTTGAATGTTCTTAAATATTTCCAGGTTGTGTTAGATTTGCAGAAGTCACAAAGTCGTGTTATTTAAGAAATACAGTTCGTTCTACCCTTGTGTATTGTGTAATAAATTACACTTTCGCCCTCAACTATTATAGTTAAAGCACGAGGATGCTTGCGTGCGATTGCTTTTACGTTATACACTATACATGGGGGTAGAGCGAACTGTATTTCTTTCCTAAGATGCCAAATTTAATACTTACCTATGATTAATCTAAGGCAGTAAACAACCAAAAGAAACGACAGTGTCATTGATCTTAATTAACAATCCTCACTCAGGGCTAACTGACGTGCTGTTCTATTGACATATCTGCCTCCCACGTTAAGACGCACGTTACCGTTGTGAACAGTGGATTGTTTTGTTTCTATAGAACACTCACATCCTTATTACAGTTGAACTGTTTTGAACCTGCTAAGTACCGGGACACCATAACTGTCATAACAATCGGTTTTCTTTCAGTAAATTCTTATATAATCAGCCTCCCAGACCCTAAAGTATGTATTATATATAATCCCAACTCAAGTCATGCATGCTTTGGTCAACTTTGCTTTGGCTCTGAAATTAAGCATAATTCTTGACTCCATTTGAACTTTTTTATTTTGTTATTATATGGTTTTGAATAAGATATCTCTATATTAGGTACAAAATGGTTCTTCTAGGTCTTTGAGAAGGGCTAGGGGTGTGAATTAAACCTTTTTTCATCAGCCTCAATATTACTGTAATAGAATATCATTTTGCAATATTAGTCCCAGAAGATTATCTTAATTTATAAAATATATATTCCCATAATAAAATAATAAAATTAAACTGAAAGTCAGAAGAGAAGAGAATATCAGGATCTATAGGCTCCGTAGACTGTCAAATATAGACTGAGTGATTCAATTTTAGTTTAGTGAGGACTGGGAGGCCAGCTCCTGTTGTACAGATGAGGAGCGTCAGTGTACACCCACCCTGGCATCAGGAGGAAGCTCTCAGAGCTTTGTAAACTCTCCCAGGAAGTACACCCAAGTTACAAACTCCAGCTCATTATGCTTGTTGAGGGCTGTATAGCCCAGGTTCTGGGTGGTACAGAGCATAGTCATCATCAGTTGGCAGATGGACTCCCACAGCGTTGGGATCATATTAAAACTGCATCTTTCGTGAAGTCTTGTTTGAAGGATGAAATAAATGTTTATAATGTGAAGCTAATTACTATATTGACATGTTGAAGCAGGCATTGTAGGACATTGACAGACCAGGAATGAAATCATGCATGTAGTCAAATCATTTTGTTTCATTTTTAAAGAGGCCCGTGAAGATCCGGGGTAGAATAGGTCTTCAGCAAACCCATGCTTGCCACAAAAGGCGACTATGCTTGTCGTAAGAGGCGACTAACGGGATCGGGTGGTCAGGCTCGCTGACTTGGTTGACCCATGTCATCGGTTCCCAATTGCGCAGATCGATGCTCATGCTGTTGATCACTGGACTGTCTGGTCCAGACTCGATTATTTACAGACCACCGCCATATAACTGGAATATTGCTGAGTGCGGCGTAAGACTAAACTCACTCACTCACTCACTTTTTTAAAGAGTGAGTGAAATTTCTTTAAAGTCCTTTAACTGTCAGGTTATGTGACTTCGTGAGAAGAATGTTTGAGGAAAGCTGATAATGAACCAGGTGCTGAAAACTTTCTTGAACTTCAACCAATGGCCAAAATGCTGCTGATATGGTCAGTGTCAACTGGTTCACCATTGAAATGTACCCAGAGTCTAAAATGGGCTGAAATGATAGCCCGTTAATCCTGGATTGGTTTATGGCAATAACAATATGGCAGCGACAGCTTCCACCTGAAATTCCCAAGAAGACATTTCTCAGTATTGTAAGCGATATGCCATTTTCCTGAGTTGAAATGTTTTCTGGGTACAAGAGGTGGGTAGAAAAAAGTATCACATAAACATGAAAGTACTCTTGTGTTTCAGGTGATGGTCTCAATGTCATAGTAAAAATCTCACTTCGTCAACACATCATTCATTACTCATATTGAAAATTTAAGTAAAATATGTTCACATACCAACCTTCCCACATTCAGGAACCTTTAAAAAAGTGTTCAGATTTAAATTCGTGTTCGCAAAACAATAACTTATACAATAGTTCACCATTTTGCCAGAAGATATTAGAGAACTGGGAGTCTTGGTAACAGATTGCCAGTTAATATTCCTTGCAAACACATAAGCCTTCTTTGTAATTATCTTGTTTAAAGCACTGATTGAGAATTTGAATTTTTCAAGTCATTTAAACAAGATTTACAGTCTTGGAACAGTGAAACAAGTTAAGACAAAGTGTGGCCTTGTGCTTTAAGGTACTGTTATGTAAAACATTTGTTTTTCTTCTTCCCTAACTGAGAACATAGATGGTGCAGAGCATGCTAAGGATGGGCTGTACCACTCTTCTCACTCGCTATAATTAATTGTCATAATTTCCCTTAAACTAATATTGTTTATTTGAGGTCACAAGGCTAATTAGAATTAAGCAGATTAACTCCTAATTTCTTTACCACTTTGAAAAAAGTGTGGTGGTTAAATGCTAAACTTAGTTGCTGATGGCCTGATCTGGCTAATTGAATGTAGCAACATAAATAATGTAAAGCGTTAATGACGGGTCCCAGTTGCAGCTTTCTGTGTTTGATTGACAGGTGATTGACAGGTGTGTCTAGCCGTGTGGAACAGGGAGACTTGGATCAGGTAACTAAGATGGCTATGAGTGCAGCATAAACAAGATAGGAGCTCTTTTTGTGTCTAACTTTACTGCCCTGTCTCAAAGGAAATTTGGATTAATTAACTTTTTACAGTTTCAAGTTCTGTCAAACATTTGGGCTTTTTTTAACGTGCAGCTACAGATTACATAGTTAGCATATGCTGAGCTTTGCCAAGAAGGTGTGTTTCAGACTTTCGTAGAAGCTTCTCTCTGTCTTAATCATGCGTCCATCTATCCCACTCCTTGGTAGAGTGTTGTGTGTACCTCAGAATTGGGAGGGCAACATATATTCAAGTTGTCTGAACACTGGCCAACACTCATACGTCCCTGGTGATAGTTCAGTATATTGTCCCCATTATGTGGCCATGTAGAATCTGTGGTGTTAGGGTGAGTGAGTTTAGTTTTAGGCTGCACTCAGCGATATTCCAGCTATATGGCGGCGGTCTGTAAATAATCGAGTCTGCACCAGACAATCCAGTGATCAACAGCATGAGCATCGATCTGCGCAATTGGGAACCGATGACGTGTCAACCAAGCCAGCGAGCCTGACTACCCAATCCCGTTCGTCGCCTCTTACGACTAGCATGGGTTACTGAAGGTACATTCTAACCCAGACCTTCACGGGTTGTGGTGCTAGGACCATCATGAATGTTAAAGAAACATTCACTATCATCTGTTCCCAACATCGCACTCATGTAGCAATGTAGATGTTGGTGGGGAGATGGTGGATGATAGCTGAGGGCTTGGACATCCATGAAAGATAATATATTCCTCTGTATTGTTCCAGCTCATCTGTATTTAGGGTTGGTGGGGTAGCCTAGTGGTTAAAGTGTTTGCTCGTCATGCTGAAGACCTGGGTTCTATTCTCCACATGGGTACAATGTGTGAAGCCCATTTGTGGTGTCCCCCGCCATGATTTTGCTGGAATATTGCTAACAGCGGGGTAAAACTAAACTCATTCACTCATCCACACAGTCATCTATATTCACATCTAATTGTAGGCTGTTGTAGTATTTGTGATGTATTGTTTAGTCTAGAAATGCGACTGTCATCATGCTCATCGAATTTCCTTGATGCAAATCAAGTCCATATCATTGTCTGAATATCTTGCTGCAGCAGAGAATGTCCACATCCTTGTCTGGCCACATCCGTGTTCATGTTTCATGAGTGCAGTAGTGTGTCCACATCCTTGTCTGGTCACGTCCTTGTCTGGTCACATCCTTGTCTGGTTACATCTGTGTTCATGTTTCATCAATGCAGTAGTGTATCCACATCCTTGTCTGGTCACATCCGTGTTTGTGTTTCATCACTGCAGACTTCCCTTGATTCATATCTATGCTCTCCCTGTTCTCAAAGTGTTTCTGAGCACCAGTATCTAACATGAAGCATGAAACTAATCATGGAATTGATGAACTAGCTGGAATACAGCCACTGGAATTAATGATCAAGATAACTTCAAAGCTTTGCTCGTGCTATAATGACATCAGTTATGGAATGGTTGAGTAACTTCTATTAGATTTTCATTTTCCAATTTAAAAAAAAGTTATTCATGCAATATATCGGACATTCTACTCTACTTAAAATATAATTCAATTTTCTCCCTTGATCACTGAACTAGATCTTTGCTATGGTCTTTTACCTCACTAAATCATCCCCAGTATCTTTCTTCTTAACATTAACATGGCATATGGTCACCTTTAACTCTCTTTGCCCTTGGTTGTGCATCAACAGGTTTGACTAAAGGGTGCTAAGAGAAATTAAGTATCATGATATTGATAAACAGTAACAGGATGAACAGTTGTGTCACAACTGCCTGCACTTATGATTAATAAAGTTATATCAAAACAGCCTGCTTTTATGTCTCAGCAGTGGAGTCGTTAGTGGTATATCTGTATATATTACAGCAGCCCAAAGTTAGTAATATTACAGTCTCAGCAGCGGAACTCCCTGTTTGAACCCCCTCCTCCCCTTCCCATCCCTTCCACTTGGCTCCATCAGTGCAAAACATTAACTTCAGTGTGGGGAAGGGAGGGGGGTGTCGAACCCCCTGAAACACATGCACACACGCACGCATGCGTGTGCACATACTAATACCAATGATCATGTAATCCTGAAGTATTCTAGTTATATCAGACCAACAAGCAGTTATCACTACAGTTATATCAGACCAGCAAGCAGTTATCACTACAGTTATATCAGACCAGCAAGCAGTTATCACTACAGTTATATCAGACCAGCAAGCAGTTATCACTACAGTTATATCAGACCAGCAAGCAGTTATCACTACAGTTATATCAGACCAGCAAGCAGTTATCACTACAGTTATATCAGACCAGCAAGCAGTTATCACTACAGTTATGTCAGACCAGCAAGCAGTTATCACTACAGTTATATCAGACCAGCAAGCAGTTATCACTACAGTTATGTCAGACCAGCAAACAGTTATCACTACAGTTATATCAGATCAGACCAGCAAGCAGTTATCACTACAGTTATATCAGACCAGCAAGCAGTTATCACTACAGTTATATCAGACCAGCAAACAGTTATCACTACAGTTATATCAGACCAGCAAGCAGTTATCACTACAGTTATATCAGACCAGCAAGCAGTTATCACTACAGTTATGTCAGACCAGCAAGCAGTTATCACTACAGTTATATCACAGCAAGCAGTTATCACTACAGTTATATCACAGCAAGCTGCAGTTATCACTACAGTTATATCACAGCAAGCTGCAGTTATCACTACAGTTATATCACAGCAAGCTGCAGTTATCACTACAGTTATATCACAGCAAGCTGCAGTTATCACTACAGTTATATCACAGCAAGCTGCAGTTATCACTACAGTTATATCACAGCAAGCTGCAGTTATCACTACAGTTATATCACAGCAAGCTTCAGTTATCACTACAGTTATATCACAGCAAGCAGTTATCACTACAGTTATATCAGACCAGCAAGCAGTTATCACTACAGTTATATCACAGCAAGCAGTTATCACTACAGTTATATCACAGCAAGCTGCAGTTATCTGTCATAAAGTCATCTCACAGTGGTCCTTAGTCAGCTATTTCACATCACTTACTAAAACATAAATGAACATCAGCAATGCAAACCATCAAAGCTCTGAAACCTTTTGAAAGCTGAAAAGAGTATTAACATTGAAATGAGCAGAGGGTTAAACGGAGTACATAATCCAGAATACAGATGTCATGAACTGAGGAAGAGAGCAGTTGTTGCCACACATTCTGTCATATACATTACATGAACACACAGACTTGCAGGCAGGCTTCACCACTGTCTATTTGAACACAGAGAAGGAGTATGTACATGTCAACAATTGGTAAGTAATCTAAGCCCTCTGCAGCCTCCAAGACCACAAGAACACCTCTAACAGCGGTGCCTATATCCCCTACCCTTATTTATTTGTGAGGCCCTTCATTCATTCATCACTCTGCAAGTTATCAAGAGAGCTTGCAGTGTGTTGACTGAGCCGGTCTCTCTGTGAAATGTAAGGCTTATTTACTATTACTCTGCGATTATTTACCGAGTGTTTGCCCATCTGTTCCAGGTATAGGTTTAGGGGGATGGTTATAATTCTCTCCTATTTTTCCATCCTGGCTTTTTGTGACTTTTCACCCTTACTTGCGAACGTATATCTTCTATTTTATTTCTTTTTATCTCATAGTGATCTCGTGAGATTTCTGCAGTCTTTGGTTTGTTTTTGTCTCGTATTTCGGCAGGTTTATGATCCGATTAGTATTTATGCCTGGGCTCTTTTGTATTTTTGATGCTGGTTTTAGTTGGTGCGCTTCATTTGATCTTCTTGATTATTTTTTACAGTGAAAAAATGTTTCCAACAGAAGTGGAGAGACATCTAACCTTTCTCTTTAAAATGATAGTGTTTCATGGCTCTATTTCTGATCTGCTTTGTAGTTTCTTGAGACATTCTGCTCCATGTGGACTTAGAGCTGTGACATTGATCCTGGGTGAGAGTGTAATTTAAGGGGTAATTATTTTACTGAAATGTCTGTTGTCAGCTGAAAGGTACAATGTTTATGAGAAATGAAACGTCAACTGCCTTTCTGTTGAGAATCGTGAGGTTTAAGGATGTCTATGTTTGGGGAAATTTTATTGCAGTTAAAAATAGTTTGAACCAATTCTTTGGCAGTTTGTTTTTACTGTTTGTTGTTTTACACTGATGTAGTCTGTGATCCAACTATGAAAGTACAGCCTGTTGATAGTGAGATGTGGGCAAGACAAACCAGTGATTGATGTTATGAACAAATCACCATAATGTCGGGTCATGATGACATGCAGTCAACCAAGTGACCTGGGCCTAGATTTTCGAAGCTCTCTTAGTGCTAAGATAGTCATAAGTGCCATTCAATAACATTAACTTACGACTATCTTAGCGCTAAGACAGCTTCAAACATCTAGGCCCTGATTCATTGTAATTACTTATTGCAACCTCTAGAGTGAGTGAGTGTAATATTCATGCAATATCACAGTGGGGCGACTCCAGAATTGGGCTTAAACCCATATGGGGAATCAAACCCTGGCCTTTTGACATGATGAGATAACACTTTAACAGCTGGGCTATCTCACTCATGAAAATTGTGTAGTTGATGCGCTGTTACATAGAACTTCAAACCTAGACTAACACTTAGTCTCTGAATATATGTAATTTTGATAGTAACCAACCTGAGGAAATCTAGATTTGCTTCATTTAAGGCTTTAGCAATACAGGGAGGGTCAGGCAGTTGGTTAAATAATGCGGTCCAGGGACTGTGAGACAGACTTCTTCAAACCCTGTATATGTTCAAATGTCTTATATCATGATATTGATCATGATGGGTAAGAAGGCCATATAATGTCTTGATTGTTGGTATAATATACATGTCTTGAAGTGTTGTGTCATTATGTACAATATCCTGATGTGTTATCTGATAATCTGGGACATCCAAATATTCAGTACAGTG